AAATGAGTTTTGTTTTTTTTTTTTTTTTTTTGGTCCTGGGAATTGAACTCAGGACCTTGAGCTTGCCAAAGCAGGTGCTTATGCCACTAAGCTACATCCTAGGCCCCAAATGAGTGTTATTACCTCATGGTGTATTCATGCCTTCAGATATACAGGTCTTCCAAGAAATGTATATCCACTAAAAGTCAACAAGTTTCATAAAATTTTTTTTTTTTTTTTGTCTTTTTCATTTTTATCGGTACCGGGGATCGAACTCACGACCGCCTGCTTGCAAGGCAGGTGCTTATGCCGCTGAGCTAAACCCCCAGCCCCAAGTTTCATAAAATTTTTTATGTATTAGATAGGAATGATTGGTTAAAAGGACATATTTTATGTTAAAATGGAAATTCAGGTGGGTTACAAAATGTCATCATGATTGTCATGCTATAATGCTGTATATGGTTTTCTGGGGTTTTTTGGGTACTGGGGATCGAACTCACAATCTCATGCTTACAAGGCAGGCATTTATGCTGCTGAGCTAAATCCTCAGCTCCTGTATATGATTTTGATGTCTAATTTTCTGTATAAAATATGTAACTGTCTATTGACATTCTATAGGTATTCAAACATTAAAACATCCATGGTTAATAGGAAATAACGATTCCATTGAATGTTCTATGGAATTTGTTACTTAGATAATAATGTTAAGCTTACTGTCTCTACTATACTATACTGTTACCAATCTTTTCTTCTGGATATTCCACAACTGAGGTTTAGAGACCAAAAATTGGAAAGATAGATGGGCTAAGAGGATAGCCAATATTTTGGTCCTAGCCCTCTGAAGTCAATGAAAATTCAGGACATTAGAGAACCTCTGCTGTGACATCTGTTACTTGATGAGTCCCTAATCTTCTGATCAAGAGGCAGTAGGAGGAGAATCAGTAGGAGAAAAAAAATCTCTCAAGCTTTCATAGAAAGCAACTTGGTCAAGCGATGGCCGTGACTCATCCAGATGGCTGATACTGACAGAAGAACATATTCTTGAGACTTATCTGACCTTCATAGATAGCAAGAGATTGATTATATTTAATAGAGGTTTCCCCTAACTTGGTCTTGGACAGCCAATAGAAAAGTACAACACAAAAATGTATAATGCAATGCCACAGTAAATGTTAGCTATAAAAGAAAGTCAAATCACGAAAGGTTTCTGACAATTGCTGGCTACACTGGTAACTGTGTACTGTTATGGATTAATGGACTGCACAAAGTTTAAATTGTGGAATGCAGGGACTTAAAAGAGGGGCTGGGGTTTTAGCTCAGCGGCATAAACGCCTGCCTTGCAAGCAGGCAGTCGTGAGTTTGATCCCCGGTACCAATAAAAAAACAAGAAGAAGAAGAACAAAAAAGAGGGGTATGTTGGGAGCCATTGATGCTGGATATTGACCACATGTGCATAGCTGGGGTATGGCCATCCAAAGAACAAAGGGCATCTGGGCAAGCCAGGTGAAGAAGTTGCTTCAGCCCATAAAAACACCAAGCCCCTAGACAATCCAAGCAGTGGGTTGCAAGGCAGCAGTGTTGAAACTGATGTCATTTTTCTGAGTATATAAATAAAAAAGTGCTACAGAGGTTGAGCAATTCTTTTCCTCCCATTAAGAGTATGGGCTCCATCGGACCCCAGCTTTGTCTCTTTTTTTCTTTTCTCATCCTCTCATGGTCCTTCACCCCAGGAACCTTAAGAGTTGCATGGGTCACAGCAGCTGTCAATATTTAAAGTGTGATCAAATATACTTAATAGAACCTAGCTCCCCCTCCTTAGCAGTACTGGGGTTTAAACTCAGAGCCTTTGCATTGAGCCACACCCCTCACCCTTTTTTAAATTGAGATAGGGTATCACTAAGTTACTAAGGTGCCCAGAATGGGTTTGAACTTATGATCCTCCTGCCTCAGCACCCTCAGAGTGCTAGAATTATAGGTGTGTGCACCTATACTCGTGCAGTTTTACAACCATCTTATAAAACTAAAATTCTAGCTATTAAAATACTCCATTTCTCCAAACTTTAACAACCATCATTCTATTTTTATTTTTTAATTTTTTTTTCTAGTACCAGGGATTGAACTCGTGACTGCACACTTGCAAGACAGGCACTTATGCTGCTGAGCTAAATCCCTAGCCACTCTATTTTTATTTACTTATTTTTAAGTTTTTTTTTGTAGTGCTAGGCATCAAAACCAGGGCTTTGTACAGGTTAGGCAAATGATCTACCACTGAGCTATATAATTACTGCCCCATATACTGTATGAATCAGACCGCTCTAGGTGGTTCACACAATTGGAAGCTGCCAGGCATGGTGGCACATGCCTGTAATCCCAGCACCTGGGAGGGTGAGGCAGGGGATCACTATGAGTTTGAGGCCTGCCTGAGCTACACAGTGAGTAGAAGGCTAACCTGAACTACATGATGAGACCCTGTCTCAGAAAAAAAAAAAAAAAACAAAACTCCCCAAAACCTCCTGAATATCTATCAATAGATTAAAAAATAAAAAGCTGGGTGTGATAATGCATACCTTTAATCCTGACACTTGAAAGGCTAAGGCAGAAGGATTAGTGCAAGTTCAAGACTAGCCTGGGCAACACAGTGAATTCAAAGCCAAGCTGAACAACATAGCAAGGCCCTCTCTGAACAATCAATCAATCCAGACTATCAATAAAATTGGATATTACTCAGCCCTAAAAAGGAGTGGCATTCTGATAAACACTACAACATGGATGAACCTAGAAAACGTTATACAGTGAAAGCAGCCAGAACACAAAAGGTCACAAATAACTATTTCATTTCTATGAAATGTTCAAAAAGTAGATGAGCAACTGGTAGAAACTTACAGAGTTCAGGGAAAGTACTAACATGTTTGGGATTTTTTTGGTGGGGCAATGAAAATGTTTTAAAACTCTGATGATGTTTGCCCACCCAATTATGAACTAAAAGCATCTGAAATGTACACTCTAAATTGTATGACATGTGCATGACATCACAATAAAGCTGTTATGGGAGGGGTGAGGCAACTGCTGATTAAAACCCTCATGTAAATACCAAGAGGCTGGCTTCTCCTGGAAAGTGCTCATCTGGCTGCACTGTGTCTGGACTCCCCAGGAGCCGTAGAGCAGCGTCCCCTCAACAGGGTGGCCAGTATCCATCACTCATTCCTTAGTGCCTCTGGGCACTGAGGTTATGGGTTAATGGCCTTAGACCATGGGATTGTGAACCCACTTCACTTTTTTATGTAAAGTTTAAGACTTACTCACCTTGTGAACCTTTGAGAAGGGCACACCAAGAAAGTAGCACCTCTAGTTAGAAGATAAGTGCAGATTTAACAGTCAGCAGGCAAGAATGCTTCAACATGCTTCTGCAGAGCCTAACCAACAGTGCAGGGCAAGATGATGTGATGCCGGAGTCGCCTGAGGACTTGCAGAACTGCAGAGAGGATTTCGTTTGTTTTTTGGGACACAGTCTCATTATGGAGTCCGAGCTAGCCTCAAACTCAGAGCAATCCTCCTGCCTTAGCCTTCTAGTTCTGGGATGAAGAGGATTCCTGTTCGTTGAGAGATTCTGACAACAGAAGGATGCAAATGCCATGCACTAGAACCTAGATGATCAACTTTAAAGAGGGTGGCTCAGGTTGGAGATAAAACAGCAGAGGCCTGAAAGGGGCCGTAGCTGAGGACCAATTCCAACAGTGGCCTTACCCACTCAAATTACTATTGCCCTGTTTTGTCATCCTAATATTTTAGAAAGTGCTATACATTCATTTACCTTTCTCCTTATTCTCATTCCCCAAAGACTCAGGGACCTACAGATAGTCCTTCTGTTCTCCCACTTCTGGGGATTAAATCCAGCGACTTCTCACTGAAACCTTATCCTCAGCCCTTTTTAATTTTTTATTTTGGCACAGGGTTTTTGCTAAGATTCACTTACTCAGGTTGGGCTCAAATTTGCAAGCCTCCTACCTCAGCCTCCCACAGTACAGGGATCATGGGACTGTACCACAATGCCTGCCCCCACTGTTTTTTTTTTGTTTGTTTGTTTTTATTTTTTGCATTTTTACATATATTATCTTGCAGCCCAGCTCTAATTCAAAGAGTACAAAGTTATTTGGAAACATGTGTCTCAGGAGCCTTCTGTGGATATAAACTAAAGTCAAGTTTGTAAGCCTCACTTAATAGTGCAACTGTTGCATAGCCACATTCCCCTCTAAGATGGTTTCGGTACCTCAGTAAGGGTGTCTCTAGCCAGAAAATCCATACTCCTCTTTCAAAATTTCTCTATACTTCTTCCCAGGACAGGGTGTGAGTGAGACCTGGTTGACTTCTCTAGGTATAAACATAGACTTTCCCAAGATAGTGCCCATTCTTCTTCCCATGCCCTGCTACAGCCCCAGGCTTGGCAGTGCCTGACCACAATGTATTTTCAGAGCAGGCAGGCAATACTTTGCTGATGAAATACAAGCAAGAATCTCAGAAACACAGAATGTCACTATTGAGCTTCTCTTATGCATCAGCTCTTTCCCAATCTCTATTCGACTCAGCAAAGTGAAAAACTTATACTTCACCCTGTTCAGCTCAGAACTCCAGGGTGGATATGAGCAAGAAGTTAGGTCCTCCAGCTGTGCCAGGAATCATGGCTGTGCTAGGAGCCCAGATAAACTACAGTAAATTTTAATTAAAAAAAAAAAATACAAAGACTTTAAAAACAATGGGAAAAAAGTAACAAAGGACACAATGTGTGGGCTCCCAGTCAGCTCATACATATTTCTCAACATGGGTTCTCAGAAGAGAAGCAGCAGCTAACTAGTTTCTAGAACATTCACTCCCACCAGCACACAGTCTTACAAGTAAGCACCTTGCCCTAGGAACAGGGCAATCAGGTCAGCACTGTTGGTGCCCAGGATTCACCTGGATGAAACCAGCTGCCTCTCTAGTCTCCCCCAGCTGCATGGCCCCTTTCAAAGAAGCAATGACCAGAGTTTAGTTTTTAAATTATGTTTTGCAGAAGATAATCTTATTTACATTGATACAGAATCATTTTACATACTTAAGACACTACTGTCATCTTTAATTTTGTAAATTATAAAGAAAAATGTTCTTCATTAACCTGTCTTACACTAGCAAGGACTGTGAACCACGTGGAAACTGCAGTGTGCTACTAGCAGAGGCTGAGGACATGGCATTTGCCCTGGCTGCATGGTGGGGAACCTTCACTGGTGTGGACTGTTTTCCTCTCTTGAATGCACATTTACACAGGAAAAGACTGTGATTCTTAGCACTGAGTAATTTAAACACACTTGGAAAACAGATATTGAAAACATTGGTGGTAAGAACCAAGATGCTGGCTGGCATGGCTTCAAGTTCCTGCAGTAACTGATGTCTCCCCAGCATGGCCCAGTGGCTGTGGCTCAGAAGTGCAGGAGCTCCACCACCCTCAGCTGGAATCACAGAATTCAAAAGTCAGGGCCGAATGCCATCTGTCGGGGCTGAATGCCATCAGTGGAAGAGATTGTCTGTCTTCTAGAGACCCTGTGGGCCTTTAGGTGCCTCCCCAGGCCCCAGCATACACTTTCCAGCCGCTTGGTACCTTGGAGAATTAAATAAACTCCAAGAGGAGGCCTGGGCAGAGTGTGCTGAGAGAAGATAGCTCTGGTGAGTTATGCAGCCCTGTTTCTGATGAAGATGACCTGTCACAAAGGACTCATTTCAGGACCTCTTAGAGGTTTGCTGAGAGGAAAATGAATCATTTCACACTTGGTGCAGTTCTAAGGCTTCAATTTAAGCTGAAAGCATGGCCTTTAATTCTTTAAACTCTCCACCACATTTAATTCCAAACTATAGTTTTAGTGCTATAAGAAGTGTCCAGCTGTCTTACCCTGCCTGAGTCAGAAGAGATGCATCACCTATCCATGAACTTCCACCAGTCCTTGGGTGCTACATTCACTGCCCAGAGGCTGTCCACTGTGACCTTTTCATGCAGATATGTGCTGTCATGTTGTTTTGCTGTTTCCTGGTGGTTGAGAGGGCTCTGCAGGCAGGAGCTCAGTGCTACTGCTCTGGGATCCTCATGTCTCTGAAGCCTGGTCACAAGGAGGACTGTTGCTCCCGGCCTAGTTTCCAGTGGATCGTTTTCCTGAATCAAGGAGACACACAGTTATGTTTCACATCCTAGTGGGAAGGCTTCCACTAATCCCCATCCCTGGAGAGTGGCTGTGCTGAGTCAGGGTCAAGAGCCCCAACACTAGGGTTAAGCACAAACAACAGGACACCACAGTGTGCAAGCCCCCAGATTTGCAGTGCTATCCTGCCCAAGCAGGGTGGAAAGCTACAAAGCAGGTGAGAAGTGAAGGAGATCTGAGTTCGAGGCCTGGGTCTGCCACCGTTTTCCCTCTGTGACTGTAGGTAAGCTGGTCCCACCATTTTGAAATTGAAAACCCCTGGGAACTGGTAAAAGGAGGGCTGTGAGGCAGGAAGGATTCTGAACTGAATTCAAACCTGAGGCTGGCCACTACAGCCTGATCCAGCATGCTACTGGCTGGCAGCCCCACACTCTGCTTCTAAGGATGCCAGATTAGGACAGCTTTGACTGGCACCTCTTCCAACTCCTGGAGTTGGGTAGGGTGAATATCTTGTTGGTTAAAGTAAGAGAAAACAGGGATTAGTTCATATAGGGAAGCAAAGGGAAGAAACCTCAACAGGTTTTCCTACCTCGGCTGGAATATCAGGAGGTAAATATTTTCTTAAGTTTGGAAAGGAATCCCTCGTCCTCCCCAGCCTCAGGCCTAGCCTTGCTTCCTGTGGAGCTATCCATGGTCCTGCCACCTGGGCACAAACAGCAGAAAGAACCAGGGTCAAGGGCACACACCTCCACCCATCACATCCCCGCCCCATCCTACTCATGCCAAGCAACCTGAGGCCTAAGCACTCAAGGACAACCAACTACCACCTTAAGAAGAGAAGAGGCCACTTCTAAGCTGGCAAAGGCTGCCTCACTTGTCAGAATGAAGCAACTGGACCAATGAAAGTCTTATTGTGTCCCAACTGCTTAAGTCATGGACTTGCAGTGAGCAAACAAAACAGACAAAGATTGACCAGCTGTCTCTAATCTAAACCAGAGTCACAGAAACAGAGCTATATGCTACATCCTTTCTAGGTGAGCCACTCCGCTTACAAATACTGGGTCATTTAATCCTTAGTTTACTTTATGGGTATATTTCACAGATGGGGAGAAAACAATGGCAACAGAGAAGTTAGATGATTTGCCTGAGGTCCTAGAACTGGCAAAGAGGAGGCAGAACTGAGTTCAAATCCAAGCTCTTAATCACTATGCTACTGGGTATAAGACAAAATGCACACTGAGATAGGACTATCTCTAGGTCCACTAACTAGATTCCGTACTATATATGTATACACATGACATGCCCAAGATACCCAGTGATGGACCCACGGGCATGTGGAATCTTCTGATAATGCACTTCATCTCATATATTACAACACCAGGTGGGACTTTTATTTCCCTTATCAACTTCCCCCATATCTGGCTCCTAACCCTGACTGCTCCAGATACAGGGCCGAGGCTCCTGGTCCTAGGCTAAGACTAGAATTCTGCTGCACAGATGTCTAAGTGATTTGCCAATCACAGGTACCTCCACCCTGAGATAGCATCCTGCAATGTAGTTTCAGGCTGACCTTGAACTATGTAGCCCAGGTTTTCAGAACTTGCAGCAATCCTCCTGCTTCAACCTCCTGGGTGCTGGGATTACAGGTGTGCGCCACCATGCCTAGCTCTTGCTACATGGTAAGGCTGCTCTTGAACTCACTATGTAGTCCAGGTGGCCTCAAACTCGTGATCTTCCTGCTTTGGACTCCCAAATGCTGGGATTACAGGCATGTACTGCCATGCCCAACCAGGGCCATGTTTTTAATGTGCCAAGACAAACACCTTGCTGCACAACACAGTGTAAACAGTCATGGTTTCCAAGAGCTCAGTCTGAGTCAGATGAGGACCTAAGAAGCAAGGGGCCCAAAGCTCAGGGGGGCAGGTCCCTGAGCAGGACCAGGTGGGGCTATCTGGATACAGCATAAAGAGGAGGGAAACAGCTCACTCCACTGACTTGGCACATTCACAGAGCTCAGCTGTGTCCTCAGAGAACGACTTGCTGAATGAGATCTAGACAATCACTAATACAGCTGGGTCACATCTAATCTCCAGGGCTCACTAGATGAGGACCAAGCCTTGCACAGTATACTACAGCCCCCATAAACAGCACCCTCCTTCAGTTCTTCACCGGCTCTTCTTACAAAAAGACTCCCCTAACACAAGTCTACAAACTACGTTTTCATCACTTGTGGGTCTTCTAAGACAAGGGAGAGCATGAGTTTTGAATTTTGTTATGTCCTCAGTAGACAAATGACAAATCATGCGGTATGCTGGAAGTGCGTCACACCACCAATTATCACTGGTAGAGCTTCTACCATATGCCAGACACCATGCCGCAGGCTTTATTCATCTGAGCTCGTTTAATCACACAGATATCCTATAAGATAGCACTGTTATTATCTCAAATTTATAGATGAAGAAAGAACTGAGGTTCAGAGAGATGAAGTCATCTGCTTAAAGCTTTACAGCTAACAATGATAGAGCTGGAACACGATGTATCTGGTATCAGCACCAAACTCCTAGCTAGTCCAAGTATGGCACGAAAACACTCAGCAACTCCTGTCTCCCTCCTTCCTTAACTATGCTGGTTCTTGTCATAAAGGTTAATAAATGGTTTGTGCCTCATGGCTAGTGTTCTACTTGAGCCAGGTTAGTTAAAAGTCTGGGAAACTTAGAACAAGCACCTGGTAAGATGATTACTGGTTCAAGGAGCAGAAGAAAATAACAAAACCTACACATGCACACTGAAATCTTTTCTCACTTCCTAAAACCATAACAATGGTCTTACCTATCTCTACTTTATCTTTGCTTTTTTTTCTTCTACTTTATTTTGTTATTATTGGTAATAAGGAGTAAACCTAGTACCTCACACACAGTAGGCAAGTACTCTAACAGTGAGTTAGATCTATAGACTGACTATCTGTTTATCTTTTTGAGACAGGTTTCACTATGCAGTTGAGGATGGCCTGAACAGGTACTGATCCTGCCTTACCCTCTTGAGTGCTGGGATTATAAAGCATGTGCTACCACACCTTGCCCATTTTGCTTTTTTTAAGACAAGATCTCAATTACCCAGGCTGGCGTCAAATATGTAAGCCTCCCAATTAGCTAGGATTATAGGCATATGCCGCCATGTCCACTTTACCTATAATATATCTGTTGTAAGTAGGGTTAATGGGGTATGGCTCCTATGGGAACAGGATTTCTTGTCAGAGAAGTAAAAAGACATGAAGAACAGATTTTGAAATTCTGAACCAAACGCCAATGGCCAGTTGTAAGTATTGCACACAGATAATTAGGTCTATTAAAACACTACCTTTTCGCTCTTCAAGCCCTGATAGAATTCTGAGGACTACCTGGGGAAGGAGAGACCTCCCAGCAGGATGACTTTGGTACTTTGGGCACAAATGTGAAATCTTTACTTCCAAAGCTTCTTTAAGCGAGGCTAGTACACGCTATCTGCACTTTAGAATAAACGGGAACTACCCTCCATGGAAATCACTCCAGTTGGAAGGAACCATATAGCACTTCTGCTCTGTCTGGGTCTTCAGCCAGTGAGCACAGCAAGAGGGGAGCAAATCAGCCACCTGAGATACAAAGAGAGGTGGGGAGCACTAAAAAGGCTGAGGCAGGAGTATCACTGCGAGTTCAAGGCTAGTCTTGGCTATAGTGAGTTTAAGGCCAGTCTGAACTGCATAGTGAGATTCTGTCTCAAGAAACAAAATAAAACACCAGCCCCCCAAAAAACAAAACAAAACCCCCCAAACCAAAGAGAGGTAGGAGAGGACACTGAAGGTCCAGACTCTCCCTGGCAGACTAGGTATAGTCTTCTTTTTCTTTTTTTTTTTGTCTTTTTCATTTTTATCAGTACCAGGGATCGAACTCACGACTGCCTGCTTGCAAGGCAGGCACTTATGCCGCTGAGCTAAATCCCCAGCCCTAGGTATAGTCTTATAGAGAAGGAATTTTGTGTTCATCTCTCTGGGAGGCTGAGGCAGGAGTTCTCAGCCAGCCTGAACCACACAGTGAAAGACTGTTTCAAAACAAAAACAGTTCTGAACAACAACAAAAAAGAGATACTAAACTCATCAAAAATTTTAGACTGGAGCCTGGGAATGTAATTCAGTGGGTAGTACACAGCATGAACAGGCCCTGTATTCAATCTCAACCATCAAAATGAACCCAATAACTGCAGGCTGTTTGTGACTTTATGGCTAAAGATTTGGGTACATTCCAAATGCCATCCATGTATCCTTTTCATTTGATGAAAACAAATCTTCAAAGACTCTGAGAAACAAACATGTACCTGTGAGCAACTCTCAGTCTCTAATGATGCTCTAATTTGTGAGAATTTAGAAGAGTACTTGTGGGGCTGGAGATTTAGCTCAGTGGCATAAGCACCTGCCTTGCAAGCAGACAGTCGTGAGTTCAATCCCCGGTACCGCTAAAAAGGAAAAAGACAAAAAAAGAAAAAAGAAAAAAAGAGGAGTATTTGTTTTCTTATTTTGGTGGTGGTTGTTTTTATGGTGCTAGGGATTAAATCCAGGGCCTCACACACGGTAGGCCACCAGAGCCACTTCTGCAGCCCTTAAATACTGCTATAAAGTAACATGATAAAGACTTGTCATGCACAGGTACCAACTTCCTAAGCGGAATGCTATCACTACATACTACGTACTACTAAAATTTAAAATAAATCACACTTAAAAGAAAGTGATATGAAAGGCCAGGGATTTAGCTTAGTGGAATAAGCACACTGCCTGGCAAGTGCACAGTTGTGAGTTCAATCCCTGGTACAAAAAAAAAAAAAAGAAAAAGAAAGTAATATGGAAATTGGGATGTGGCTCAGTGGTAAGCATACTTTCCAGTATGTGTAAGGCCCTGGGTTTGAACCTCAGCACTACAGGGGACAAAAAAACAAAAACAAAAACAAACAGTATACCTTTATCCCATGAATAAATGCTAAAGGAATACAAATTGTTTCCAGTAAAACTCTAGTTGTATGGGTTGGGGATGTGACTCAGTGGCAGAGAGATTCCTCAAAAGTGTATAAACCCTGGATTTGACCCCCTGCATCATGAAATGAGGAGGAAAAGAATGAAAGGGGAGGAGGAGAGGGGAGGGAAAGAAAATGAGGGGGGAAGGAAAGGGGAGGAGGGAAGAATGGGTGGAGGAGGAGAAGAGAAGGGAAGAAGAGAGGGAAGAGGAGAAGAGGGGAGGGGAGAGAAGAAAATTTAGTTGGGCAAAGCAGCATATGCCTATAATCCCAACTACTTGGGAGGATGAGACAGAAGAATTACAAATTCAAGGCCATCTTGGGCAATTTAGTGAGCTCTTGTCTCAAAATAAACAAATGAACAAACAAACTTTAATTAATTAAAGTAAAATAAATAAGAGCTGGGGATATAACTCAATGACAGAGTGTGTGTCTAGCATATCAATAGGTTTGATTCTCAGCACCACAATAAATGAAGAATGAGGGCTGTGGATTTAGTTCAGTGGCACAAGTGCCTGCCTGGGAAGCACAAGGTCATGAGTTTGATCCTCAGTCCAAAAAAAAAAGAATGAATGAATATAAAAATAACAACCTCTGGCACTTCAGAGGTTGAGGGTAGAGAATCGTGATATGAAGGGTAGCCTGAGCTACACAGCAAGAACTATCTCCAAATCAAACCAAATCATTCTACAGTATGCTAAATTCTTTAAATAACAGGTTCAGGGTGGAGTATATTTAAATAAAACTTACTGCTATGAAGTTACTCAAAAGTGGGAATTAATGCACTGTTAATATTTTCACACATGGATTGCAAAAGTGATTTTCTTCATAGTAGTACACTTACAGTACATTTTTCAAAATCAAGTCAGGAAGATTTTTCCCCCAAAACTAGGTATTCACTAAGTTGCCCAAACTGGCCTCAAATTTGCAATCCTATCTTACCTTCCCAAGTAGCTGACATTACAGATTACAAGAGTGCACCGCATATAGTCAAATCTAACAAATGCCATTTAGGAAGAAATCTAATCGGTATACCTATTTTACTTTACTAGCAATTTTTCAAATATGCATCCAATACATTAAGGTTATGTTTTATTTATTTGGCACTGGGACCTGATCTCAGGACCTTGTACTTGCCAGGTAGGCACTTATGCCACTGAGCTGTATCTCAGGCCCCAGTTATGTTGTATTCAATAAAATTATGTCATGAAGAATTTCAAGAGTTTACAAAGTGTCTGGCACACAGGAAGCTCCTAATATATCTGGATGAATGAAAGAAACTCATCATGAGGACAAAGAATCTCATCTCTAGAATCATAAAGGTTCCAAAGATGTTTGTAAGCTGACTATATGATTGACTCTCACCGTAAGGTATCAGAGATGGTTCAAAACAACAGGCTGGTGGTATGGCATACATCTACAATCCTATCAGTTATAGAGGCTAAGGCAGAAGGATAGTATGTTTGAGTCCTAGCTAGAAAATTTATGGGACTATCTTGCAAAACAAAGAAATTAAAATGGCAGAGGATGCAGCTCAGTAGTAGAGTGATCCTGGTTTTGATCCCCAGTACCACAAAAAATAAACAAACAAACAAAAATAAATAAAATTAGGGGCCACTAATATCCAACATTCTAACGTGGTTAAACAGCCACCCTTTGAGCTTTCTAGCAGGCAGGAAGTAAAAAAGCTGTGTAAACAAATATCGTATGTCACACAACTGCAAGGACACATGGCTTTCATGGAAGAGAAACTAGAGGTAAATGCTCAGTGCTATAGAATAACTAGTCTCACTTCATTAGTTCAGAAGATACTGAAAAAGCCAGTGTGGCAGCACACACTTGTAATTGCAGCACTCTAGGAGGCTGAGGCAAGTTCAAAACCAGCTTGTGCAAATTAGCAAAGACCATTACGAAGAAGAAAAGAATGCCAGGTGTGATGTCACACCCTATTATCCCAGCACTCAGGAGGCTGAGGAAGGAGGATAACTGCAAGTTCAAGGCCAACCTGAACTACATAGCAAGACCCTGTCTCAAAAAAAAAAAAAAAAAAACATCACAAGGGCTGGGGATTTAGCTCAGTACACAAGCGCCTGCCTGGCAAGCATGCAGGCGAGAGTTCAATCCCCAGTACAAAAAAAAAAAAAAAAAGACAGGAGGAGGAAGAAGAGACAGGAGAAAAAACCAAAAAGAGGAAAGTATATTCTACCAACTATTAAAATATGTGCCATTCAGTGATTGGTTGGGATACAGAAAAGATTTGTTGGGTTCAGAGTCTAGAGTGCTCACCATTACATCCTGGAACTGTGTGGATAATACACAGGACTCCAGTTTTGAGAACTTGCTCTATGATCCTGACGAAAACAGAATGACTCAACGAGAGAAAACATGCAACTTGAATCAATGACCTCCTGGGTACAGCCTGTCTTGACTTAGCAAGATCCCAATTAAGAGCCCCTCATTTCCCACAAGATGAGGGACGGCACCGCGCAGGTCAAAGTTCCAGCCAAGCAGGTATGCTAATATCAAATCACCAGTTTTGATCTATGCTCCTCCAACAGAGGATGATGTGTGACCTCTGGTAAGTCAGTCATTTGTTCACTGTAGGACAGACCAAAATTAAGCCAGGTGTGGTGATACACTCCTGTAATCTCAGCACTCTGAAGGATGAGGCAGAAAAATCACTGTTTGAGGCCAGTGTGGGCTACAAAGTAAGTTCAAAGCCAGCCTGAACTGCATAGTCAGCACAAAAAGTCAAAACAAACAAAAAAAAAAGTTAATCTGTTCTAAAAGGGAGACTAAGTCATCTGATAAGGTCTTTAAACTGTTCAGGGCCAGGAATGCACAAATCTCTCCAGTTAACATCCTCCTTAAATTGTTACAAGGAACTCATAGCAGGGAAGTGCCCAAGGTCACGAGGCAAGTGGCAGAACCAAGGCTAGAACTCAGAACACCAGTTCTGAGACACACAGAGCTCCCAGAACTTTCCTCAGCACACAGATTCATGCAGAGAAAGGGAAAGAAGCTGTCACTGGGGTCCCCTGCACCACACCAGCTGTTCTGCCCCTCAGTTCCATTCTTTCAACAGTACTTTTAGGCCTTTATTAAGACCCCCAAGTAGGAACACACTGCTCCAAACTGTCCATCTTTCAAGAGTATTATAAGCTCCACTGTGTAGCCATGACACCCCCAATCCCTTACCTGCACTTGTTTGGGTGACACCATTCACCGTTCCCTCCACATCAGTCTCATCCTCAGCGTAGCTCAGGATCAGGCTCTGCTGCCGGCTTGTTAATCTCCTGTGGACCATGCACAATTAGGGGCTGAGTGCTTCCTCTGAGAAGCATGCTGTATCAAAGAACTTCAGTGTGTGGGAAAGTGAGACCCTAACCAGGGAGGGATGTTTACTACATTAATAACTTGAGGTCATTCCCTCAAGCTCCTGTAAAGAAGAGCTTTGGGCCAGTGGCACAGTGGTGCACATTTATAAAGCCAGTACTCTGGAGACTGAGGTAGGATGATTGCAATTCAGAGTCTAACCTGGACAGGCAAAATAGTAACATAGACTTTTATGTCTCAAAATACAAATGAGAAGGGTGGGGAGGGTACAGATTTAGCTCAGTAGCACAGAGAGCCTGTCTGGCAAGTACAAGGTCCTGAATTCAATTCCTGGTACAGAAAGGAAGGAAGGAAGAAAGAAAGGAAGGCAGGAAAGAAGGAAAGGGCAGGGAAGGAAAGGTGGTGCAAGTCTCACATCCTAGCACTCAGGAGGCTGAGGCAGGAGGATCACCTAGAGTTCGAGGCCAGCTACATATTGTGTTCAAGGCCAGTCCGAACTACAATAATGAGACTCTGTCTCAAATAAGCCAAAAAAGGGCTCAGTGTGAAGGCCCTGGGTTCAATCCCCAATGCTAGGAAAAAAAAAAAAAAAAAAAAAAAAGAAAGAAAGAAAGAGAAAGAGACCTTCTAAGATACCCCAAGTTGTTTAAACAACCATTACTATGTTATGCTGGATACAGTTTATAGGTGACAGGGTGGGGTGAGAGGGTATCTCAAGTGTCTATGAAGGCAGTGAAAATGATCCCATTAATATTTTAAAAAGAAAAAGTGTCAGAAACTGGCCTCCAAAGAAAAGTCAGATATATCCCAACAGGGTATCTACAGTACTTTGCCCATAACACAGCACAAGCAAGCCAGGCATGGCAGTATGTGCCTGCAATTCCAGCACTCAGGGGGCTGAGGTAGGAGAACGGCCATGAGTTCAAGGCCAGCTCAGGTTCCATAGTGAGTTTAAGGCCAGCTGAAATTATATAACAAGACTGTCTCATAAAAACAAAAAGCAAGAGCTCAGCATCTCTGATGTGTCTGTGAAGTAGACAGGGTTGGGACACATCCAACTTCATGGGAGAAGGGTCTTGCCCAAGCAAACAGCTCACAGGCACCTTAACTGATGGGTGCAGAGTCTGGCAGGTGAATGGCTTAGTGGGCAGAGGAATGTGTGTAGAGTTCGGAGCCAACGTAGAACTTACTTTGGAACTCTGATTTTGACATGAATGTAGTGGTCGCCATAGCCATAGCTGTTAATCCGGGGGATGCCTTTCCCAGTCAAGCGAATCTTCTGGTCTGTTTGAATCCCTGGTGGAATCTATAGAGAAAGGAAAATGGTGATGTTCCTTGGTCTTCACTTTCCCACATACTGAAGTTCTTTGCTACAGCATGCTTGTCAGCACTCAGCCCCTAACTGTGCGTCAACAGAAGACTGACAAAGATCCTAAAAAAAACCTTTTCACTACACATAGACAATTTTTTTCTCCCTAGCACTGAGGATTGAGCCCAGAGTTGGACATGCTAGGCAAGTGCTCCACTACTGAGCTATAGGGGCTGGGGATTTAGCTCAGCGGCATAAGCGCCTGCCTTGCAAGTGTGTAGTCATGAGTTCGATCCCTGGTACCGATAAAAAAGGAAAAAGACAAAAACAAAACCCCCCAAAAAAACCACTACTGAGCTATATTCCCAGTCCCACAACAACAATCTTGAAAGAACTCCTCAAAAGGGACTTATGTTTAGGTGAGCCTGATAACAACCATGTAGATACTGGCTGAGCTGCAGTCTCCCTAGAGCAGACTACGACTAGGTCTTGAGGTTAAAAGTTGTGGTACCATCGGCCTAGGAAGCAAGGGGAGAAAAAACATAAGAGAAGCTGGGCACGATGGCACATGTCTGTAATTCCAGCTGCACTTGGGACGCTGAGGCAGAAAGATCACCATGAGGTCAAGGCCAGCCTGAGTTATACCATAGTGAATTCAAGCTAGCCTGAATTGCAAAATTAGATCCTGTCTTCAGGAAAAAAATGAGACACAGACAGACAGACACCCAGGAACAGAGGCAGGACAATCTATCCCCAGTGTCCACCTCCATGAGTAGAGGCCACCCCAAAGTCCCTTGTACACAAAAGCCGTAGAAGGCCCTGAGCCAAATATAAACAGTGGTGGGCCTGGATATAAGACAACAGGTATGTGTGGACCCAAGCAGATGCCCATTACAGCTGCTACTAAAATCAGAGGTAGCCAAAGGGAAAAGACAGTGCCAAAGGTATCTGCTGTCATAGCCAGATGAGCAAAGAGCACCTACTACAATGTTGTAGCTTGTGTCATACATGCACCCAGTTTCCAGGCCTACTGACCTGTGCAGGTGATGGCAAAGAACTACTCTGCAGCAATCATACAGCAAGTCCTGAGCTGTGACTCCCACCCAAGAACAGCCTAAAGCTCCCAGTGCCTGGCCCCAAGCTGCTTCTCCCCTCAGAATTCCTGACACGCTGGATGCTCACAGGTTTCAGGGTATGTCAGCCACTGTCCATTTCGGAGAAAATAGCAACATACCAGAGTGGCAAATAGTCCTCTTACCGTCACATTGATTGTTTCATACAGGCCCTGAGCTCTGGCTGTCCCTCCAAGAAGAGCCTGAGCTATAGAAATAAAGAGGTCGGAGTGGATGTCTGCGCCGTCCCTCCGGAACACAGGGCTTTTCTGCACCTAAGGTCAAACACAAGATGAGTGTGACCACCAAAGAAGTCCTGCTGAGGCTGCTGGGCATGAGCTACACGGCTCATGAGACTTAAGATTAGAGTCTGACACACTTTTCCACCTTCAGTGCACAGTATTGAAAGACCTGCATTTGCAATGGAAGACAGCACTCCACAGCTCAGGAGGGCCAGGGCCTCTACAACCACATACTCAATGGAACAAGGTCTAGATTTCTTCAGCTTCCGCTACGTTATTCAATTGAAAAAGGAGTTTGGAGCGATGGCACATAACTGTATCTGAATAGTCAGGAGGCTAAATAAAACACAAAGATTAATATGAGTTTGAGGTCAGCCTAGGCTATACAGTGAGTTCAAAAGCAACCTAAACTACATCATAAACTACATAATGAGACCCTGACTCAAACAAAATACAGATATGCTGGTGTTCCATGCCTGTAATCCCAGCATTCAGGAAGCTGAAGCAGGTGAATCACCAGAGCTCAAGGCCAGCCTAGGCTATTAGGTGATTCAAGGTCATTTTGAATTGCATAGCAAGACCCCGTCTCAAAAAAAAAAACAAAACAAACAAAAAAAAAAAAAAACAGTAAAGTGAAGGGAAATAATAAAAACTGACTATCTGAACATTTTCTAAGAATTTTCTAAAAAGAATAGAGAAACAGACTAATATATCTTCAAAGGTAAAAATGATTTATCTTTCAGATGATTGTTCAATATAAACTGCCTTCAAAACTGACAGGGAGAGCTGGTCAGGTGATCCTAGCACCTTTGATCCTAGCACTCAGGAGGCTGAAGCAGGAAGATCACTAAAGTTTGGGGCCAGCCTGGAGTAACATAACGAGTTCAAGGCCAGCCTAGACTACATAGCAAGACCTGTCTCAAAAAACAAAACCAACAACAAAAAGAAATATAAAACAAAACTGACTGGCAACACTGAAATTTTTTTGTCTTTTTCATTTTTATCGGTACTGGGGATCGAACTCACGACCGCCTGCTTGCAAGGCAGGTGCTTATGCCGCTGAGCTAAATCCCCAGCCGCTGCAACACTAAAATTTATTTCATTTTACAAATACTATTTTTTAGTATTTATGTATTCTCAGCCTCCAATGTTGTTTCCTTTTTTTTCTCTATTATTAAATAGGAAGAAAAGCTGAAGTTTCTACCAGACTTTTCTTACACATTGGCATCCAGTCTTCTGTCTTCATCTTTTTTTTTCTGTGATACAGGGGACTGACCCCAGGGCCACGCATATACTAGGCAAGTACTGTACTGCTGAGGTACATCCCCAGCCCCTGCCTTCAACATTCATCTCTGTCTAGAAGATTTACCTTTCACATTACTTGTTTTTGTTTTTCTGTTCCTGACTTGCTTTATTTTTCATAGCATAGAGAACTGAACTTAGGCCTTGCACACTTTGTTTTCTGTTTTATGTTTTTTGAGATGGTCTTACTAAACAGTATAGTATATGCTTACAATTTGGGTACAACTTGAATCGTGGAGTAACTTTTACACCCAAAATCACAGAAAAAAATTAAGTTCATAAACTAAGGTACCACTATATTGTCTAGGCTGGTCCTAAACTCCTAAGCTCAAGCAACTGTCCTGGCTCAGCCTTGGTAATAGCTGGAATTATAGACACTTGGACACTAGGTTCAGCTTTTGCTTTTATTTAAAATCATGAAACATCTCACATCACAGAAAAAATTGAAACTAAATATCAAACATGATGCATCCTCACAATAGTATACATGTGACCTCCTTACTATTCCTCAGTTAACTACTACTCTGAATTGGTATTTCTCCTTTCTTCTTTGTTGTTTGTTTTTGATAGGGTGTCACTTATATAGTGCAGGCTGATCTTGAACTCACAGAGATTCTCCTGTTTCAGGCATGTATCATCATGCCTGGCTTCCCACAAGCATGACTTTTGCTGTGTATTTCCATGTCCCTAAATAATATAAAATCCATCTCACATGCATGAAAATATTTAGATGGCCTCCTGTGTTTTGCACTCTTTTAGGGTTTGCTTTCTTTGGTGTATCATTAATAACTGAGGCATCTCTTATTCACACATATTCAAGTTCTTCTTGAGTTGTCTACTGTTCTGATTTTGAGATAGGGGTCTTCCTATATAGTTCAGGCTGGCCTTGAACTCACATCAATCCCTGTATCTTAACTTCCCCAGAGTACTAGCATCACAGGTACAGCCACCTTGCCTTGCTAGGTTGGTTCATTCTGTCTGTCTGTCTTTCTCTCTCTCATGAGTGGGTCTCACTATATAACTCAGGCTGGCCTCAAACTCATGAGCTCCTGTCTCAGCCTTCCTTGTGCTGGGATAACTGGTAAATGCCATTATGTTCCTTTTTCTTGATAGCCCTGCAGTTCTCTATGACGTGGCAATTAGCTAAGCCATGTTCATGGTTTATTTATTTATTTATTGGTTTTGCCTTTTTTGAGACAAGTCTTGCTATATATACTTTGGACTGTCCTCAAATTCATGGCAATCCTTCCCCTGCCTCAGCCTCCTGACTGCTGGGATTATAGGTATGCACCATCATATCTAGCCATTCTTTTAATCAAAGACACCAAGGTTGAGTCAGGCATGGTGGTACACACCTCCTATCCAACCACTGAGGGAGGGTGACACAGGAGCTTTGCAAGTTTGAGTCTTGTCAGAGTAACCTAAGTTGAGACCTTGTCTCAAAATAAAAAAGGGAAGTGTATCCACAATGCTCCCACCTCATGTCAACCAGCACCTCAACAGCTCCGACTCCATGAAAGGAATAAGCTGACAAAAGCTATGAAGGCAGGCACCTACCCTGAATGTGATGAAAATTTCTCGTTTTCCCACAGGCATCCTCACAGTCTGGCCATCCTCGACTCCTAGAAAAACCAAAGTTCCAAAGACAGCAGTTACATTGACAGCCCTTTCTACGTGAGACCCACTGACCAGCCACAGGCTTCCTTGCTCACTCCTGTTAATCTGGCCTCAGTACCTGAAGAGAGTAGACAAAGGAAATGAAACCAGGGGACAGAAGCTGCTACTTCATCAAGCAGAAGCACACAATGATAACTGGCACAAAGATAAAGATTCAAGAATGTTTTAGTTCCTTCTCCAGCCCAAGGTTCTAAGGACACAATCTCAGTTTCTGTCAACAGCCACACTTCACAAGAAATGGTAGCATGTGCTCTTGCAGGCACAGGGAAACCCAGGAGCCCACCTGCAGGCACAGGGATCATCACTCGTTTCTTCTGCTTGGCTTGTCCTGCTCCTCTGCAGATCACACATGGATTTGTGATGATAGAGCCTCGGCCACCACACCTCCGACACGTAGAACGCATCACAAAAGGGCCTGTGTTAATGGTTTCCTGGTGAAAAAGATAATAAAAATGTAGGCATGTAGGTAAATGCACCTGAGGAAAATGCTTCATTAAACACTTGTCTTACATGTATGTATCTAAAAGCCAACACGAGGCCAGGTGTGGTAGCACACGCCTGTAATCCCAGTACTTGGGAGGCTGAGGCAGGATTGGTGAGTTCAAGGTCTGGGCTACATAGTTCAAGGCCAGCATGAACTACACAGGGAGACCCTGTTTCAAAAAATTAAACAAAACAAAAAAATAAAAGCAACAGGAGCAGGGGCTCACATCACTAAAATGTATGGATTGATCGACCTCTCACTTCCAGACCACTATGCTGCTGACAGAAGAAACAGGATACACTATCTGAAATCTCCAAGAGCTGCGCAACACATAAAAAGATGTTTTTTCCACTAGTTACAAAAAAGACAGCTGGGAAAACTAGAAAGTAAACAAGAAAGGGACAGGTTGATACAATCCCTCCTCTGTCATGCTGGTCACTGAGCCTTTGATTCCAAGGCTGAAGGCTCCTAACATCCAACGGTCCTAACTCTGTTCCCCCTGAGCAGTTCAGGTACCAAATGTCACTAGTGTTCAAAAGGGTTTGAGGTAGTCTTTAGTGGGGAGTGCTCCTCTGAAAACAGATGTGAGAAAGAGGAGACTCACCATGGAGCCAAATGCACAGGGATTGCATTCAAGCTGACAGTGTGAACAGGGTTCACATGCACCCTTCTACTCATGCTCCTCCAGGAACAACTTCTCCCTTATTTCCCACATCAAACTTCACCTACACCACCCTTCAGGAGCCCTCTATCCCCTCCCAGAGCTGTGGGTCCTTAGGATTTGGACCACTTCCATCAATTCTCATTGATATACAGAAACTGGTTATGCTTTTACTTAACTTCTTTAGGGGTGAAGGGGACAACGAGAACATTATCAGACACATGCCTGATGTAGCAGATCAAAGAAAACAGAGGTAAACAAACAAAATGTTATTCATTTCTCCTTCACCCTGACTTCATGGCAACCAACTCTTTTTGTTTGTTTTGACGCTGGGGATTGGACTCAGGCCTCACACATTTTCTACCACTGAGCTCTGTTCCAGCACAACCCCTTTTTCTTTTTCTTTTTCTTTTTTGTGTGTATGATGCACTGAGGACTGAATTCAGCATCTTCACACTGAGCTACAACCTAACTGTTCTTTTTAACTTTTTATTTTATTAGGGTCTCATTAACACATCAAATTGCTTAGGCTCTGCCTTGCAAGCATGAGGCTGTGAGTTCAATTCCTGGTACCTAAATAAATAAATAAATAGCTTAGGCTGAGTTCAAACTTGTAATCCTTCTTCCCAGCCTCCCAGACTACAAAAGGGTTCCATCCTGGTCTACACAATGAGTTCAAGGCCAGGCTGAACTACATATGCAGACCCTATCTCAAAAAACAAAAAAACAATCAAAACCCAAAAAACCAACTGATCAATCAATAAAAAGATACAGGGGCCAAGGGTATAGCTCAGTGGCACAAGTGCCTGCCTGGCAAGTGTGAGGACATGAGTTCGATCGCCGGTACCAAAAACAAAAGCAAAGTAAAGCAAAGCAAAGCAACAAAAAAATGCAAGAGTCAGCTATAAATACTTGCACAGGCCAATTTGCACCCAAAAGGACTTCCTCAGGGATAATTTGAACATCAAAATAGCTACATAAGCGCCATAGATATAGCTCAGTGGCATTAAGTGCTACCTGGTAAGTGCAAAGTACTGAGTTACAATTTTCAGTACAAAAAAAAAAAAAAAAAAAAAAAAAAAGTTAACTATGCAGGTTATAACACAGTGAACAAAATAAGAATCCCTGGGCCAGGGAGATAGTTCGGTGGCACAGCACTTGGCTAGCAAGCATGAGATCCTGAGTTCAATTCCCAGTATATATATAAAAAAAAAAATCCCTAAATTCATACTGATATGAATTAATAAATGGGAAAGAGGAAGTCTTCCTTTGAATAGAAGGCCAAATGCTAGGCATTATGGCACATGCCTGTAATCCTAGCACTCAAGAGGCTGAGAAAGGAGGATCTCTGTGAGTTCAGGGCCAATCTGTGTTACATAATAAGTTTAAGGCCAGTCTGAAATACGAGACCATGTCTCAAAAAAAAAAAAAAAAAAAAAAAAAAAAAATCCAAATAAAAATACAGAATGCCAACTAATAACAGACAGAATACTGGGATCAGAAAATCATCATTTTACAACAATCATGGTTCTACTAAGTGATTTCAGTAAGAATGATCAATAGATGCAAAAATTAGTGGGTAGGGGTTGGGGATTTAGCTCAGTGGCATAAGCACCTGCCTTGCAAGCAGGTGGTCGTTAGTTTGATCCCTGATACTGATAAAAAAAATTGGTGGGTAAAAGTCTGAGAAACATGACATTTGAACAGTCTCAAGATACCTCAGAATTTATTAATTTCAAGGGAAAAATATAACTTTATACTAAAAAGCCTGGAAAGTAGTTTAACAAATAATCATGCTGGTCGCAGCACTCAGGAGGCTTCGGCAGGAGGACAGCTTTGAGTTTGAGGCCAGTTTAGGTTACAAAGTGAGTTCAAAGCCAGCCTGAACTACACAAAACTTTGTCTCAAAAACAAAAACAAAAATCTGTTGGGTGCAGCGGCATATTCCTATAATCCCAGCACTCGAGAAACTGAGGAAGAAGGACTGCCAAAAGTTTGAGGCTGATTACAGTTCAAAATCAGCCTGAACTATATGGTGAGACAGTTTCAAAAAACTAAAACAATCAAACAACGTCTCCAAAATCCCCACAATCATAACCCTAACCCTAATGGGACAAACTGACATCTTAGGGCCCCTTGTACATTCCACTAAGAAGAACACATCTCCTCGGTGATATTGTCTTAACATTCGTTTTTTCTGTGTGATGTTTCTCCCAGAAATAATATGAATCTTAAGCATTCAAATCAAGGGACATTCTATTAATAAACAGCCTACAATCTCTTTTTTTTTTTGTCTTTTTCATTTTTATCGGTACCAGGGATCAAACTCATGACTGCACACTTGCAAGGAATGCCCTTATGCCGCTGAGCTAAATCCCCAGCCCCACGGCCTACAATCTCACAAGTTTCAAGAATTAAGAAATGGTTCCAGATTTAAAATAGCCTAGCTGGGCATGATAGCACACAAAATTCTAAAATTCTAGCACTCTGGGAGGCTAAGGCAGGTGGATTGCAAGTTCCAGTCCACTATGGGCAATTTAGTGAGACCCTATCTCAAAATAAAAAATAAACCAGAGATATAGCTCAGCAGCACAGTGCCTGCCTGGCAAGCACAAAGTCCTGAGTTCAATTCCTGGTACCAAAATAATAATAATAATAGTAAAATAATAATAAAGGACTGAGAATGTATATCAGTATAAAGGCTCTGGATTCGTAGGGGCCAGGGATTTAGCTCAGTGGCATAAGTGCCTGTCTGGCAAGCACTGTGTCATGAGTTTGATCCCTGGTACCAAAAAAAAAAAAAAAAAAAAAGTGCCTGAAGGTTGAGGAAGAGATCTGGTAAAAATTAAAATAAAAAGACTCTGGATTCAATTTGAAAACACACAAACTTATACAAAGACACATGCACCAAAAAAAAAAAAAAAGGAATAAAGATATGACAGCTAGATTCTAAACATGATTCTAGATTGGGTTCTAGACCAAAGACAAAAAAAAAAAAAAAAAAAAGGACAATTCAGCAGAAGCAGTGGTGTACAACTATAATCCTAACTCTAAGATTGCTGAGAGTTCAAGGTGAGCCTGGTCTATATGGTGAGTTCACAGTCAGCCTAGAATACATAACAAAACCCTACGCCGTAAAAAAAAACAAACAAAAAAGAAACGACAACTGAGAAAATTTGATAACATATATGATGGTATTGAGTGAAAATTTCCTTATTTTGAGAACTATACTGAGGTTACATAAAAGAATGTTCACGTTCTTAAAAAAATACACACTGAAATACTACAATGAAGTATTTAGAAATCAAGAGATTCACACACATAGAGAAGAAAACAAAAATGACAAAGCAAATAGGACAAAATATTGAATATGGGTGAATCTGGGTAGGTGGGATGAGGGAGTTGGGACTTTATACTATTGTATAAGTATGCATTATATAAAGTTACCAAAAAGGAGAAAAAAAATCATTATAGACTTCAAGCAAAAAAAAAAAAAAAAAAAGTCTTTCCTCTGATTTTCAAATTATCTAAATATTCCAAAGTGCATTTTCTTTCTTTCTTTCTTTTTGGTACAGGGAATCAAACTCAGAACCTTATGCTTGCCAGGCAGGTTCTGTGCCACTGAGCCATATCCCTGGCCCCCAAAGTACATTTTCTGATCAAGACAGAGCAGTACTGGAAAAGTGAAGACCTCCAGTTATGGTCGATACACTTTGTTAACTTGAGAAGTCCAGAAGCTTATCTAAGTAACTAGCAGTTTTACATCCTAGTGTTTAGAGAACATGCCCTTGTCACCACTCTAGGATGTAATTTGTTGAGTCAACTTGAAAAGTTTAGAAGTTTTAACTAAATGACTTAGCAGGAAGCCAGGGTCCTCACTCTGAGCCTGTGCCAGAGAAGGGCACAGAAATGATATGAGTGCTACACACATCCAAGGGCAGGTAACTTGCATACAATATAAGGGAGAAAAAGAAGTTTGCTACCCTCCTCTCTTTTTTATTTTGCTCCTGCTGCTTTTGTCATCTTCTGCCACCTTGAAGTGTTGCCCCTGTACCATGCCACCCTGCCTTGGAGCCAACTGATTATGGACTGAAAGCTCTACAAACTGTGAGCTAAATAAACCTTTCCTTCCTTAATTTTGGGCATCGGGTATTTTGTCTCAACAGAAAAGCAATTATGACAGTTCTAGATTAAACAGTCCAGGATGCCTGAATAAATACCCACAGGAAGGGGCTAGGGATTTAGCTCAGTGGCATAAGCACCTGCCTTGCAAGCAGGCAGTCATGAGTTCAATCCCCGATACCAATAAAAAGGAAAAAGACAAAAGAAAAAAAAAAAAATACCCACAGGAGCACAGAAGAAAGGAACAGAGAAGAAAGCAGGAAGAATGAGGCTCTGCAATGTCCTTACCATGCCAGAGCCACCGCAGTAGTGGCAATGCTGCACCTTGGTACCGGGCTCATTCCCTTTGCCATCACAGCGCTCACAGGTATCCATGATGTTCACGGTGAACTCCTTGTTGACACCCTTGGCAGCTTGATTGAATGTCAACTCCATGATATACTAAAGAAACCAAGATATAGCTTGTCATTCTCTACAACTATAAAGGCAATTTTGAATGTATAGGAAATTTAAAAACTTGTATTTCTAATTCAAGGATGGGACTGGGAAGCACAGCCTGTTTTCATAATTAAAAAAAACCACAAAACTTGGGGCTGGGGATTTAGCTCAGTGGCATGAGCACCTGCCTTGCAAGCAGGTGGTCGTGAGTTTGATCACCGGTACCAATAAAAAAAAAAAAAAAAAAAACAAAACTCAGCTAAGCCTTGGCATTGCTCATACCAGCTGCAACTTGTAAGATAAATGGAGGTCAGCTGCATTTGTTATATATTAGTTTGCTTCAAGTTCTCAAGGACAGACTGGCTCAGTTAAAGACAATGATTGATTCTTCCTACTTATCACAATCCTGACTCCCCCACCCCATTATAAAATAGTAACCCACATTAGCTTACGTAGTGTAAGTCTGCCTGAAAACATATGACCCAGCTTACATAACCAATTATAGAATATCTTGTTATCTGTCTTTTGTTATCTCCTGAAAAACCTAATAAGCGACTGCTAGTCTCAAAGCAGGGCTAATGATTTGGAACTGACATTCCCTTCAGCCCACTAACATAATGAAACTACATTCCTTCCAAAGGTCTCTGATGCTGTGTCTTCTGTCTGGTCCGGTCCTGAACCTCTTGCAGGTACTATTTAACTACTGTACTTACTGATACTTACACTCTGCTAGGTGACGGTAGGCAGGACTCGTATCTGTTCCTATCCTGCTTCTCAAAATTAATGGACAGTGTATGTTCTTTTTTTTTGAGACAGGATCTTGCTGTGCAGTTGAGGCTGACCTTGAACTCACTCTGTAGGCAAGACTGGCCTTGAACTTAGATGATCCTCCTGCCTCAGCCTCCCAAGTGCTGAGATTACAGGTGTGTGCCATCACATCCAGCTACAATGTGTCTTAATTTAAGTGAAAATATACTTCTCAACAAGTTGAAAGTGTTCACAGATAATACTTGTCTGTAGTACTTGCTACATTTTGATATTCCCAAAGGCCCATTTCTTTTTTTCCTTTTTTTGAGGGGTACCAAGAATTGAACTCACGAACTTGTGGTTGCTAGGCAGCCACTAAGGCCGCTAAGCTATATACCTGGCCTCAAAGGCCCATTTCTTAAAAGCTTGGTCCCCAATATGATGCTACTAAAGGTGGTAGAATCTTTAAGAGACAGAGCTAGTGGGAAGTTTTAGCTCATTGAGGACATTCCTTGAAGGAGACTGTGGGTAATGGTTTCCCTCTTTTTTCCTTTGCAGCTGCAATGAAGTGAACAATTTTGCTCTATGTGCTATGAATATCTTTCAGTGATATGCTTCCTCAGCAAAAGCTCTCAAACAACATGGGGCCAAATGACTAGGGGTTGAAACATGAAATCATAAGCCAAAATAAATCTTTTCTCTTTTTAAGTTGCTTATTTCAGATATTTTATTGCAGTACAGAAAGCTGAGTAACAACACATAATAAAACTTGATGTTATGCAGTCATAATCATCAAACATTTCTTCTAAAAAAAATAAATAAAAATTTAAAAAAAAAACATTTCTTCTCCTTCTTCAACCCTGACAATGTCTTATTCAGATAAATATGAAAGAGATTCAGTGTAACTTCTTGCTGCAACAAGCTCTCCTACACAAATCACTTTCACACAAATTACAAACTCTGAGGAACATAGTGCTGCCTTGCTAAGCAACTTTCAAGGATATACTCAAAATGGATAGTTATTACTATCTATAGGAATTTTCAAATGCTGTAATTATTTTCTACCAAATAGCTGTTTTGTTTTTCTGAGAAACAGAAACTGATCAAAATCTGTTTGCATCACCCTTAACATCCTAAAATTGCAATGCTCCTTCAAAATAAGCAACTTACTTCCTGAGGCTGATCAAATACACTCTGGAAGTCTCCAAATGATGAAGATGAGAACTCCCCAAATATCTTCCTGAATAGCTCCTCTGGGTCAACAGATGGGCCTCCCCTCCAGTAGCTCTGTCCAGAGCTGCTGGCCCCAGGATCAAAACCAGCAGAACCATAGGTATCATACTGCTTTCTCTTCACTTCATCACTCAACACCTGCAATTACAAAGGCAGAGTCATCAGGTATTTCTTGGTCATCTGAGACCTGGGCACACAAACACATACCAAGTAAGGCAGTCACATAATTTATGAATAGGCCCCTGTGCAAGAATATTCTGTAAGGGTCTCTGGAATAGGTGGTACTGTGTCTTCAACATCTAGAGAGGAAAGAGATGACTTTGCTGGACTCTTAAGCATGGAGCCTGAAATACTTTAAAATGTCTTATAAAAAACCTCCAGGGGTTGCCTGGAGAAATGCTTGTTAATCCTCACACACCCTCAAAACCACTCTGTAGTTTTCAGAGAGTCGTATTTCACCTCTTCACAGGAGACACTGCTTGGTAGAAAACATAGACTTCCTATCCTTTACTCTTCATGGTCTGGAAGCCACAGAAAGAGCAACATTAGGCAGGAGGAATAACAGTAACAAGCAGCAGGGAGAATGTGTTTTGTAAGTAAACATGTTGAAGACTATACTGAGTCTTCAGTATACAGTTATATATATTTAGGTTTTGACATAAAGCTGTTAGTAGGGACTCACTACCTCAAACAGTGCAACTAGTGAGTGACAGGGAAAAAATGCAGTATTCATTTTATCTCAATCTTTCATTGTGGTGTCAAGGAACAAGCTCAAGGCTTTAGGAATGCTAGGTTTTATCACTGAACTATACTTGCAGCCCCATAGTATATCTCTGTATATGTTCTACCTTTGGATTAAAACATTAAAAATTAAAAAATGTACTGCCATAGAGATCTAACAGAAAAGCATATTCTTCCTTCTAGAAAAAAAGCACTTCCACTTAGAATGAAAGGGAACTAAGAGACTCAGGCAAATAACTCATAGCCTAAGGTAGTTGTTAGGGACCACAGCCAAGGTATAAAGAATAAAGACAGAGAAAGGTGAGGATAGGCGTCTCTGGCCCCCTGGTAGCTTTTAGTTCTTGGTTGCAGCCTTCCTGAAAAATCTGAGAAACTGCTGTTTTGGGCTCCTCTGCCTTATTCATTGATTAAGCACAGTACTAGAGATTAAATATCCAGAGCCTCATATGTACTAGTCGAGTACTCTATTGCAGCTGACCTGCAAATCCAGTCCTTTTACTTTTAGACAAGATCTAAGTAGCCCATTCTCGCCTTGAACTTGGAATCCTTCTGCACCAGGCTCCCAAACAGCTGGGATTATAGGTATGTGCCACCATGTCCAGTTTGTCTATCTTCAACAGCATTTTCCTGGGAGCTGGAAATCAGCAAGACAGTGGAACAAAACTCTCCAGCACTTGTCCCTAAAGAAACACTGGATCTGGAGCCGGAAGTGGTGGCTCACACCTATAATTCCAGCATTCGGGAGGCTCGTTGCGAATTCGAAACCAGCCTGGGCTACAAACTGAGCTCAAGGCCAGCCTAAACTGCATAGCAAGACCCCATCTCAAAAAAAAAAAAGAAACACTGGATCAAACAACTATCAACATACAAAATTTTTAGTATCACATCTCACTACAAACTGAATCTTATTTTTAACAGATGCAGGTTCTAAGACTCTTTAGTTTTATTATCAGCTAATTTAAGTTACTTTACTATTTGAAAATTAAGCTATCAAACCAGGTGTGATGGCTCACTCCTGTAATCCCAGCATGTGGGAAGCTGAGGCAGGAGGCTCTTTCAAAGCATGAGACCAGCCTGGGCTACAAAGTGAGCCCAAGATCAGCCTGAACTACATAGCAAGGCCTTGTCTCAAAAAGACAAAAAAACAAAACAAAAATTAAGCTATCAAACATATCTTGCCTTATGTGATAGTTGATTTTGGTAACTTGACTGGATTAAAGAATGCCTAGAAAACCAGTGAAGCACACTTTGGGTGTGTCTGTGAGGGTATTTACAGAGAAGACTGGTATGAGTTGGGAAGACCCTTCCTGAATGTGGGTGGCACCATCCCACAGGGTGTGGGCCTAGATGCAGTAAAAAAGCAGAAGGGGTAAGCTAGTGGTCACTGGCACTTAACCTTTCTGAATAGGTATGTTTTCTGCTGTGGACATCAGACTCAGGTTCTTCAGCCTTTAAACACAAACTTGTACCAACCACTTCATAGGACATTTTCATGTCTTCAGTCACTGACTAAGCTGCATCACTGACCCCTCATTCTGAGGCTTCCAGGTTCTTGCACTGACCAGATACCAGTTTCCCTGGCTCTCCAGATTGCAGACAATGACTGTGAACTACTCAGTCCCCAGTTACATGATCCAATCAAAGAATTCATCTTTGATGTATTCTATTGGTTTTACTTATCTAAAAAACTCTAATATACATTAGATGTAGTTGACAGGTAGAAAGATTACTCATTTGATAAGTATTTATGAATTGAGGTTATTGAGCTCCCACTTATTCATAATTTCAGACTGATCAAGTATGGGAGAAATTCAACTTTCCAACAATTCTAGATGGTCAATGTTGTTCTGTAAGAGTATACTTTGTCCTCTGATCACATTTTAATGTCTTCCGGGGAAAGGGTGGTCTTCTACTTTCCAAACAGTCATTATCTCCAAGGTAGAAATATTCTAAGCAGCAGAATCACTGAAAAGGGGCTGAATTAATTAACGCAACTGGATGGTCCTAAATTCAGCTACAAATATGAATTACTGGGGAACTTTATTAATGGAGGCTACTGAATTCTAGTCATTTCCTTATTGAGACTCCAAGTTAACAGACCTAGCACAAGAATTCTGAATGCTCTTGTAATATTCCTTTTTACAAGGTGATATGGTGAAAGGACACTGCTTTCCCAGGGACCATGTCACAAGAGAGGCCATCTTGATCAGCAAAGCAAATAATAATTATGCACAGAGCTCAATGACAGTAACCACATGCACAACAGTCACATTACCTCATAGGCTTCTGCCAGCTGGGAGAATTTCTCCTTTGCTTTGGGATCATCCTTATTCGTGTCAGGGTGATATTTCTTGGCAAGCTAAGGAAAAATAATGAATTACAATGCAAAGTCACAATTTTGCCTTCCTTATTCAGAATTGGGGACTGAACCTAGGGCCTTACGAAAGAACTCTACCACAAACTTATATCTCCTATCCTTTTTATTTTAACAGAAGATTTCACTAAGCTATACAGGTTAGCCTCAAATTTGCAATCCTCTTGCCTCAGCTGCTCATGTAGCTGGGATTACAAGTGTGTGTGGGCCACTGAAGAAGTTCTAAGAGGAATCTTTAAATTTCCATAGCCAAAAAATATTGTCACTGTACCCTAAGTTATCAGCATGGCCATTATGAAATATAGTAGTGGGTTCTGTGTTTGAAATATAGTAGTGGGTTCTGGTTTCTAGGCATTCTTTAATCCAGTCAAGTTACCAAAATCAACTATCACATAAGGCAAGATATGTTTGATAGCTTAAGGGAAAATAAAACTTGCCCCTAGTCTGAAAAACAAAGTAAATCACCACAGACAACTTCAGAAATTACATATGGACTACTGGGTGTGTGGCTTATGTATAAAGAATAAGGACTGACAATGGGCCAGGGACACAGTGGCACAATGGGCTCAACAACACAGCACCTGTATGGCAAATGTTGAGTTCCTGAGTTTGGCTCCCAGGACAAAAAAAAAAAAAAAAAAAAAAAAAGACTCACATTACATATAAATAATGGATCGGTGGCCAACAGTGAAATCATGACATGGCTTATAGCACAAAAGATTCTAAGAAACTGAAATTTTAAAATAGGGCTGGGCACAATAGTATATGCCTGTAATCCCAGTGCTCAGGAAGCTGAGGCAAGAAGGTAGCAGCAAGTTCAAGGTCAGCCTGAAATCTGAAATGCAGAGCAAGATCCTGTCTACATATACATGCCTACACACACATGTGCACAGACACACATGCACACACCCATACACACAGAGGAGCCACCACTGTAGCTCAGCAAAAAAGGAAATGAGGAGACAAAAGAAATTACTTTCAAAAGCAAATAGAGACATCACAAAGCTATATGAATGGAACCAACCCCAAAAGTCTGTTAGAGACATGGATAAAGTAACCATGATATGAAGAAAAACCAGATTTTAGACAAACACCACTGTCTACTACATAAAATCATTACAGTAAGTCCCTGACTTATGAACATTCAAGTTGCAGACTTTCATAAATATCAATGGAAGGGGGCTGGGGATTTAGCTCAGTGGCATAAGCGCCTGCCTTGAAAGCAGGCAGTCGTGAGTTCGATCCCTGGTACCGATAAAAACAAAAAAAAAAGACAAAAAAAAAAAAAACAAAACAAAACATAAATATCAATGGACTTTGTATTACCAACATTTATAGATGCAAACAAACCACAGAAGTAGCTCACTCTAAACCTATACCATCATTTTAAGATTACTGTAGAAGTAAAAATAATTTACAGTATTTTTTGTGGGTTTCTTTCTATGCTTTTCATGGTATATTCGTGTCAAAGGTACGTAAGATTCACTTTGTCAGACTTATGAACAAACCTAACTTTTGAACATTCTCCTGTGTTCTCTCTTTCACAGTGGTCTGCTGTCATCCTGTAAGCATACTTCTTTTCCTGCTTATAATTGGCCCATTCACACTCAGCAAGGCATTTTTCTTTCCCTACCTTTAATAAATGTAAAACTTGCTGGGTATGGTGGCACACGCCTGTAATCCCAGCACTTAGAAGGCTGACACAGGAGGATCATTGAGTTTGAGACCAGATGGGGAGCTCAAGGCTGGTCTGAACTACCTAGAGACCCTGTCTTAAAAAGACCCCCCCCCAAAAAAAAATAAAACCTCACCCAAGAAAAAGAAAAAAAGTGAGTCTGTCATGTATAAGTCCTTGATCTGACACCCTGTACCACAAAAAAAGGGGAGATCAGTACATTATCCATGCTTGAGATCTGTCAAAGGACTATGTACTGTGATGGTAACTTATTATCTCCCAAGGTGGTAGGCATCCTGAGCCTCATTGTGAGATAGCAGTTAGCCTTTGGTCTTAAACATCCAGCATTAAACTATAACCAAAAAATGTATAAAAACAATACCATAGCCAGAGATATAGCTCAGTGGCACAGCACCTGCCTGGCAGGTGTGAGGTCCTAAGTTTGATTTCCTGTACCAAAAAAGCCCCAAACAAAAAAACAATAGCACAGTAATAAGAGCTCGATACAAAAAGGGACTCCAGTCACTGACTCCCTTGTGGAAATTTCCAGCTACACAGGTAGTTGGACACTATGGGTCACTAAGACAGAAAAAACTACAGTGGAATCTCTAAAAGCTCAACAAGAGCCTCTAACTTCCTTTTCTCTGTCTTCTTACAACTAAATTAAAAGGACTAATAAATATCAGGCAAACAGATAACCTCCATCAGATATTCGCCCTCCAACCAGCAAACCAAGGAAGAAACAAACACCCCAAAGAAGGAGAGTAAAGTCAGCATAAGCAGAAACTCCAAGCTCCTCTCTACCAGCGCCAAGAGGATTCAGAAGGAGCTGGCAGACATCACTCTAAACCCTCTATCTAACTGCAGTGCTAGTCCCAAAGGTGATAACATCTATGAGTGGAGATCTACCATTCTAGGACCTCCAAGATCTGTGTATGAAGGTGGTATATTTTTCCTAGATATCACTTTTACTCCAGAATATCCCTTCAAACCTCCAAAGGTTACATTTCAGACACCAATCTATCACTGCAATACTAACAGTCAAAGAGTTATTGCTTGGATATAATGAAAGATAATTATAGTCCAACAATAAGTATTTCTTTTCTTTTTCTTTTTTTTTTTTTTTCATGAAGAGAACTAGAGTGGAACAATAAGTATTTCTAAAGTCTTCCTTTTCTATCTGCTCACTTCTTACAGACTGCAATCCTGCAGACCCTTTGGTGGGAAATATTGCCACTCCATATATGACCAACAAAGCAAAATATGACAGAATGGCCAGACACTAGACCAAGAGATACGCTACATAAATTGAATTTAGTTTTCACAATTCTTTTTTTTTTTTTTTTTTTTTTTGGTACCGGGGATTGAACTTACAACCTGGGGCTTGCAGGTAGGAACTTATACCAATTCTTATATTTGTCACAGAAGACAACTGCTTATGATTTTGAAGAGGCAGGGGAAGGTGGGAGTTGGTAAAGAGTAGGGCATTTCTATAAAAGATATTATTCAGATTTTTTGTTTGTCTTTTTGAGACAGGGTCTCTCTATGCAATTCAGGCAGGCCTTGAGCTTACTTTGTAGCCCAGGCTGGTCTCAAACTCCCAATGATCCTCCTGCCTCAGCCTCCTGAGTGCTGGGATAACAAGCGTGAGCCACCATGCTCGGCTTTAGACTTATTTGCTAAGATTTTGTTGTAACAAGGTATCTTGCTGTAGTAGACAAAATTGGTAATAGCAACCTTTAAGGCTCATTAGTTCTACAATATTGGCTGAAATGTAGTATGGAAAAGAATGTACACTTAGATATTTGGATTTGATTGCTTATAGTATGTAACTTTTTTTTTTTTTTGGTACCGAGGATTGAACTCACAACTTCATGCTTGCCAGGCAAGCATTTAGGCCACTGAGCTAAATCCCCAGCCCCTTATGGTATGTAATTTTAAACAGCTTAATTTTGTACAGGTTACACACATGGCCATTTATGTAAAGTCATTGTAAGATGGCATACTCTTTTGTTTTAAATTGGAATTTGTCCCTTCTTGGAAGGGAACATTAATATTTAACAGTTGACTGTCATCATATATATATAAATAGATGTGGCTACAAGATATCATGGAGGAAATGAGTAGTTAATTTATTTTATTTTATATGGAATTTACTTTAAAGGTTTGAATCAGGACTTCTGAGAACTTGTAATGAAATACCTTAAGCTATTAACTATAAGGCAGGGAATGTAAAGCATATGTCTACATTTGCTATATTAAAAAAAAAATAGATAACCTCCCTCAGTAGAGGGGTCTAACAGCCAACTGTGTACAATAGCAATTCCAGTCCCTTAAGAATAGTTCCTGCATGTGGCTCTTTCCCCAACATGCCTTTCTTCTCTAGTGCCTCTGGTTTGATTACAGTTATATATGCTTTTATTTCTTGGAAATTTGTTTACTCTTGCCAGAGGCTGCCAAACTCCAAGTGATCATGCAGATGGAACCAATGACACATGTGCCAGGCTCCTTTTCAGGGATCCATCAGATCAACCTTGTAAAGAGTTTGTAACTGCTAGACTATAACATGCCTTCTAGCTGAGGAACATTAGATTAGCACTCTAGATAAGGCTCCTGACTGAGATTTCCCCTATACTGATCCTTTTCAGCTCAAAGCAGCTAGATGGAAACTACTTCCCTTGTCCCCTAATTGCAGTTCTTCATCTTCAGAGGGGAGGATGATGGATAGCTAAATTAAGTAGAAATATAGTAGGCTGTCAGCAGGGCTGGCCCTTCGAGGGAGTCAGTGCAGGAGAGGACAATACATTAGGACTGCAACTGGAGGTGCATCTGAAGATTAAAATCACAATGGCTTCTTTACATACTTCCCTAAGGGATTAATGTAGATCTGGGATTAATGATATTACCCTTTTGAGATTTCCCATTTTCTCTTTAACACTATACTCTCCCACTCACTAAAACTAAAACCACTAAGATTAGCTAAAACTAAAACTAAAATTGCCAAGACCAAAGGCAAGACTAAAACTATAGATTATTGACCAAGTTTAATGATGTCACTCACATACCCTTGCAACCATTAGATTAAAACTACCTAAGTGAGGGCGGGGGATTTAGCTCAGCGGCATAAGCGTCTGCCTTGCAAGCAGGCCGCAGTCATGAGTTCGATCCCCGGTACCAATAAAAAGAAAAAAGAAAAAAAAAAGTGTAAAAAAAAAAAAACTAGGGGCTGGGGATTTAGCTCAGCGGCATAAGCACCTGCCTTCCAAGCAGGCAGTCGTAAGTTCGATCCCTGGTACGGATAAAAAGGAAAAAGACAAAAAAAAAAAAAAAAAAAAAAAAACTACCTAAGTGACAATAGTTGCAATCTTGGGCTGAGGATTTAGCTCAGCGGCATAAGCGCCTGCCTTACAAGCAGTCAGTCGTGAGTTCGATCCCTGATACCGATTGAAAAAAAAAAACAACACCAAAACTAAACACAATAGTTGCAATCTTACTGGTTGAATGTAATTTTGACCCATGTATCTGCCTCATGATTTTGTTCTATAAAACTTCCTTTGAAGGGGCTGGAGGTTTAGCTCAGCGGCATAAGCGCCTGCCTTGCAAGCAGGCAGTCGTGAGTTCAATCCCCAGTACCGATAAAAAGGAAAAAGACAAAAAAAAAAAAAAACAAACTTCCTTTGAGAGGTGGACTCATTAGCAATCCAATCAGGACCCCTCCTATCTCTCAGAAGCTACTGCTATTTCCAATTGTCCCATTTCTATTCCTTTTTTAAAATAAATTCTCATACTCAAAACAAAACAAAACAAAAAAAGCAGCAAGTTTAACTGTCCTACTCCTGTTATACAAGTAACTTTAATTCCTCTTTTACAAAACAGCCACACACATAAATGAAATTAGTTATGAAGACTAACAGTTAACTTTCAATCTCCTACGTAAGTCAAAAGAACAATAAACAAACAAAACAACAACCCCAAAACCAAAACCTAGGTCTACTACTTGTGCCAATGCCCTAGTTCCATTACAACCCAATTAAAAAGGAAAACCCAATCAAAATGGCAGAAGATCCGAATATACATTTAACCAAAGACATTAATAGCCAACACCTGAAAATGCTCACATCATTAGTTACCAGGGAAAAGTAAATTAAAATCACAATGTGATACCATTTCATACCTATTAAAATGCTTACAATTAAAAAGAATTAGCCAGGTGTAGTGGTACACACCTGTAATCGCAGCACTTGGGAGGCAGAGGCAGGAGGTTTGACTTGCTATAAGTTCAAGGACAGCCTGAACTACATGATAAGACCCTGTCTCAAGAAAAAAATACTTATTAAAATCTTAAAAATAAGAAGTGTTGGCCTGGGTGTGTGGAGAAATCATAGCCCTCATACATTACTGCTGAGACTATAAACTGGTGTAGCCACTCTGAAAAGGCTAGTGTTATTGAAAAGACGTAAGTATCCAGTTACCATATGACCTGGCAACTACATTCTTAGGTATATGTTCAAGAGAAATGAAAACACATCTACACATTTACACATGAATGCTTACAGCAGCAACTGTTCTTAACATCTAAAAAAGAATCTAAATGTCCCTCAAGTGATGAATAAAAATAATAAGGCCCTTTCACATAGTAAAATATTACTCAATCACAAAACATGAATAAAATACTGGTAACATGCTACAACATGAATGAACCTTGAAAATATCAGGTTGAGTGAAATAAGACAGAATAGAATACCACACTACATGATTCCCTTATATGAAAATGAAATACAATAGGCAAATCCACGGGTATACAGAGTAAAGGCCCTCGCATTGAGGAGCGAGGACAATGGGAAATGAGTAACAGCAGGCCCCTTTTGAGTTGGGTTTTTCCCGGCACTGGGAAGTAAATCCAGAGCCTTCACATTAAGCTATGACTCCAATACTTTATTTTTTGATACACAGGGTACTGTTAAATCACTAGATTTCCCAAACTGAGCTCAAACTTGAAGTCCTCCTGCCTCAGCCTCTCAAGAGTGCTGAGACTATATGGGTGTGTCCTTGCATCTCCCTGACATGGGGTTCTTTATGAAGCGATGAAAATTGCTTGTGGTGATGGCTACACAACTCTGAATGTACTAGAAACTAGTAATCTGTGCACTTAAAATTTGTCGACTTTCAGGCAGTGAGGACCGCCTTACAAGAACATGCCTCTCATAGATCTCCTTCATCCATCTCCAGAGGAGGACAAGAGAAAGCACAAGAAGTGCCTGGCACAGAGCCCCAGTTCCTACTTCACGGGGTCAAATCCCCAGGATGCTATAAACTCTCCACAGTCTTTAGTCATGCACAGACATGAACATGTGTTTTGGCTACTCCATGGCCCTCTGCCAGGCTACAAGAGGAAAAGCAAGGTTTAGAGAAGGATGCTCTTTCAGCAGGAAGCAGCACTAACAGTACCTTGAATCAAAATGAAAGGGAATCCAACCCAATAAGCACATTTTGGATTTTTAAAAAAATGCTGTCCTGGGGCTGAAATGTAGCTCAGTAGTAGTGTGTGTGCTTTCTATATACAAGACTTACATCCAATCCCAGCCCTAAATAGACAAGGGCTGAATCTGTAGCTTAGTGATAGAATACCTGCCTAGCACACACAAGGCCCTTAGTTCAATTCCCAGCACTGCAAAAATGAAAGAAAAAACTGTCAATCCTACATTGCTACCAGGCACGGTAGCACACTCCCGTAATCCCAGCATGCAGGAGGCATAAATCACCAAGATCACCACAAGTTCATGGTCAGCCTGGACTACACAATGAGTTCAAGGCCAGCCTGCACTACAAAGTTAGACCTTGTCTCAAAAAACAAACAAAACAAAATGAAAATCTGTTTTTTTGTGAAGCATTAACTGCTAAAACATCAGGCACTGAAAAATGTGTCCATCAAGGCATACTTTCCTCAGATCACTCGATACTATTAGCTGCATATGATCCAAAAGTATGGGTATACACTGTACCAATCAGCACTGGACCAAATCAATGGTTGTATGTCTACAGTCTTGTTGCTAAATCTGATTTCCATACCGACCTGGTAATAGGCTTTCTTGATCTCTTTCTGGCTGGCGTTTCGGGGCACTCCTAATATCTGGTAATAATCTTCTTTGGCCAAAGGGGTGCTTGTGTGGAAGGAGGCAGTACAAACAACAGGGTAAGTTTTTGTTCCTGAAAATGGAAAAAGAAAATCACTCTAGGAATGTGTTCAACAAAGAAAATTGTGAGTAAATGACCAGCCAGATATATCTGTGAGGGAACAAACAGGGCACAGGTTTATAGACACAATACTCGCAAGCCTATTCAGAGACCAAACTCAAGTGCTCTTCAAAAGTGGTTAAGACTAGTGTAGCATAGTGGCATGTATCTATGATCTCAGCTTCTTAGGAGCCCAAGGCAGGAAAAAAAAAATAGCAAATTCTGGACCAGCCTAAACAATTTAGAAAAGATCCTGTCTCAAAAGACTGCTAGGGATGCTGCTCAGTACTCCCTGAATTCAATCCCGAGTATCAGAAAAAAGTGGCTAAAATCACTACCTCAATTTAAATACAATGTCACATTACTGGATGCATTTGATTTTGCTGCATTATATAACTAGCATAATCTCTGCAAATATCCCAGAGATGGCTGCACTTTAAGGATGATCAAAGAGGTTTAGCTCACTCTTTTACACAGCCTGAGCACTTACCACTGCTATATATCTAAATTCCTATCTCACTCAAAATTTAACAATTCCCCATATCCTTCTTTCACTATCACGCAACTCTGGCTATCTACTTACGGGCTGGTTCTCAGACTGTGGTCCTTGGCTCAGCAGCATAAACAGCTTGCTGTAAACACAAAATTTAGGCTCCATCCTAGACAAGTACTATAAAATCTAGAGGATTTCATCTCCTAGATGCCAGCAGAAAATCAACACACACCCTCCCACCAAATTGAAGGCCAAAAGCAATACATCCAGACACTGCCCAAAATCCTGTTCAGAATTAAATTGCTACTTCCTGTCAACCACTCATAAGCCAACCTAAGGATTTCAAGGAATGAGATTGGCCAGTGGCAAACTGAGTACAAGCTACTCGGTGGGCTGAGGTAGGAGGATCACTTGGTTCAAAAGGTTTTTTTTTTTGGTCTTTTTCCTTTTTATCGGTACCATGGATCAAACTTACAACTGCCTGCTTGCAAGGCAGGCGCTTATGCCGCTGAGCTAAATCCTCAGCCCCTCACTTGGATCAAAAGTTTACATCAGCCTGAACACCAGTTAGATGATGTTTTGCTTTGTTTTAACAGGATCTTGCTAGCTAGCTCAGGTTGGCCTTGAACTCAGAGCAATCCTCCTGCTTTAGCCTCCCAAGGGCTGGGATTCCAGGTGTGTACCACTATACCCAGCTGAGATACTGTTTTTTGTTTTTAAAAAAAAAGAAAATTCTGCCAGACACGATGGGACACACCTGGAATCCCAGCACTCAGGAGGTTGAGGCAGGAGGGTTGCCATGAGTTATACACCAGGCAGGGCTACACAGTGAGTTAAAAACCAGCCTGAACCATATAGTGAGACCCTGCTTCAAAAGCAAACTGTTTTTTATTTTTATTAGCACGTGTGTAGTATATTTATATTTCTTGTGGAAAGGTGGTACATGTACATAACACTTAATTCCTTCTTTCATCCCCTTTCCCTTTCCTCCTTCCCCCCACCTCCATCCATCTCTTGATCTTTTTTTTTTTTGGCACCTTTCCATTCCTTTTATGGATTTGGTAAATGTACATAACACAGTTGCTATAAAAAATTTTTAGTTAAAAAATAAAAAGTTCAGAGACAGGTTCTAGAATACCTAATAAGCTACAGAAATTGGCTTGGCTGAGGTGCCTAAATTCATCCATATTTCACACCTGTGAGGGTAGTGGCTGGCATAGGATGGACCTCAATTAATTTTTTTTTTTTTTTTTTTTTTTTTGTCTTTTTGAGACAGTCTCACTATACAGTTCAGGCTGGCCTTGAGCTCACTTTGTAGCTCAAATGCTGGGGTTAAAGGAGTGAGTTACTTTAGTCACTCTCATCTCAACTTCATGATCCTCCTGCCTCAGCCTCCCAAATGCCAGGATTACAGGGATGGGCTACCATGCCCAGCAAGACTGACTCTCTTAACCATAAAAATTCATTGTAAATATTTATTGAGGGGTGTGCTGGGCCAAGCCGGTAATCTCAGCATTCTGGAAGCAGAAGCAGGACTGTAGACCAGCCTGGATTACAAAGTAAGCTCAAGGCCAGATTGAACTGCATAGCGAGATCCTGTCTCAAAAAGAAAAGAGTGAGAAAGGTTCAAGAAATTAAATATTGCACCTAGGTCACAAACTCTGGTGAAGGCAAATCTGTTTGTCTTCAAACCCCATGCTTTTTTTTTCTTTTTGTCTTGGGGTGGGGTTTGAACCCAGAGCCTTTAGAAGAAACTACATTCCTACCCTTTTTCTAATTTAAAAGAGGATCTCAATAATTTCCCAGGTTGGTCTCAAACTCCCAATCCTGCTTCACCTACCAGACTGCTGGGATTGCAGGCTTTTATCACACCTGCCCCCACCTTTTTTGTTTTGTTTTGCTAGGGCAGGGTCCCACTATGTAGCTCAGGCTGCCCTTAAACTCTACTGCATAGCCCAAATTGGCCTTTAATTTGTGGTGATTCTGCTTCTTCAGTTGCTGCGTGTTGGGAAGCCATACCTGGCTTCCTTTTTATTTTTTCATTCTGAGACCGAGTCTTTTGCTAAATTTCCCAGGTTGGGTTCAAACTCTTCAATTCTCAGCCTCCTAAGTAGCTGGGGTACTGCATCTAGCTACCCATACTTTTTAAGCTGCACAAAATAATCACAATTACTGAAACATTAATGACTAGTATGTAACCATTAAAAAAATTGGACCACAACAGGAAATTATTGTGAATAAATTACGTAGCCAGGGCTCTTTAACTTTCTTTATAAACTGTAAGCAGCTTTAATATCCTTTGTGCAAATTCTAGGAGACACAAAACAATGAGGACAAGAACATGATAAATTGTTCAATATTTCCTTTTGTTCTCAATAAACTGAAGGTATCCAACACACAGCACATGAAAATATGGTTAAGTACGTCAAGACTTATTACATAGAAATCTGGTATTAATTCAGCAATTAAGAAGGTAGCAGATTTCCATGAGCCAAAATAAACCACTCCTCCTTTTTCAAAAGCAAATCTCTACCATTCTTAACTTTGTGGCATGCTACAAATTAGCAGCTAAGCCTCAGTTTCCTTGTAAAATGTAATCATAGAACCAGGGTTAAGTGCTCAATAACTATGCTATTACAAGCTCTGACTAAGGATTTCTAAAAGACTATGTCTTTCAATTACCACGTGGTGGAAAGAGCATAAACTATGAAACCATAGCTCGAAGGCTGACAACTCAGATATCTAATTTATAACCATGATCAAGTCAATTCCTTTAAGGCTTTTGGCTTCACATTCTTTAAAATAAGGGTGACAATCTAACTTTGGAAGATTATTGACTGCTTAGCACTCACCGAATGGTAGCTGCCTTTCCCCTTCCACTACGGGAGGTAGACAGATGGGAAAAGACACAGCAAGGTAGCAGCGGCCTCAAGAAATGCTGACAGAAAGGCGAAAGCTCATGGCCTTCGGGGTGTTCCACCACCCCGAGCTCCATGCAGCTCTTGCCCCCTTGACTTCTGGGCAACTTCTGGGCCTGCCTCCTGGTTACCTGTCTGCCCAGCAATTGCACATCCGAGTAGGAAGCCGCCTCCACCCTGATATCCCCTCAGCTATAGGGAGTCGAGAGACTCCTTTCTAACCCTGAACTGCTACTCTGGCACTGGAGTCTGCCCTCACCTGTGAGGCTGACACAGGGTCTCAATGTCAGCAGCGCCCGGGGACCACGAGCGCCCAGGGAAGGCGCGAAGGCGGCGACATTCAGCCTGGGACCCAGTGACGCCCCAACCACACCCTCCCAAAGAGGGCGCGCCGCCCTCCCCGCTGCAGCCGGCAGCCGGGGGGTCCCCACAGCCACCAGCAACCAGCGTGCAGAACACCGCATCGCCATCTTGGCCCGGGGACACTGCGCCTGCGCTGCCCGGCTCAAGGAGGCCTCGCTGGAGGACGTTTCCGGGGGTGGGGCGCTCCGCATGCATGCTGGGACAGAAGGGCTGCGCATGCGCAATCGTGCCCACTCGGCGACAAGCAGTTTGTTTCAAAAATGCTGTCAGGTACACTTGCCCTGGAGAAACTCAGTATTCTGTGCTGAACAAGTAAAGGCTGCACGTTATTTATGAACAGCGTGGTGTAGTATAGCGACAGTAACACTTGCGCCTTCTAACCAGGGACATTACTACAAATCCCATCCAACGTGGCCCTGCGTCACGCAGTTCCCAGCATACTGCGCGCCGCTGCCTGCCTCTTAACTCGGGCTTGCATCTGATTGCGTCGCACAGCAGACTTCTGCGCCTAGAGTTGGTTCACAGTCTTCTTTCGCTCTCTGCTCAGTAGGACTAGGAGTGTTCGGTTCTCTTCAGAGCTTGGTAGTCTTCTCCAAACCTGTTGCAAACGTGTTGATTCAGAAAGAAAGTCGACCTACGCATGGTGCCATGAGCCTGTAACTCTTCGTTGATTTTTATTTAGAAACAGGTCTCACTAAGTTGTTCAGGCAGGACTTGAAATTGTGCCTCCAGCCTTTTAGAGTTCTGGGTTAAAAAGGTCTTCCTCACCATGTCCAGCTGTAACTATGTTCTTTTTTTTTTTGAGACAAGGTCTCACTGTGTAGTTCAGGTTGGCCTTGAATTCACTGTATAACCCATACTGGCCTGGAATTCAAACTAGCCTCAATTTTGTGATCTGCTGCCTGACGCAGCTGAGTACTGGAGTTACAGTCATACTCCACCACACCTAGTTGTAGTTGTGTCTTTAAACAATTTACTTCACCTTCCTATGCCTCGGTTTCCACTCCTCTAAAATAGGAACCCAAAATTACATCCTTAAAAGATTATCTGAGGTATTGATGGAAAGGCCACCATTGCAACAGAGGGCAAATATCTCCTAAGCATGATTTGTAATTTCTTCTGAGGCGATCAGGGATTTAAGATTGTTTTTTACTAAAAATTATGACTCTACTGGTGCCTTTGGGCACTCAACAGATAACTAAAAGTAGAACAAGCTTGAATGTCTTTTTGTAAAACTCTAGGTCTAATCCTCAACTCTGCATTTTAGTCATTCAGTGAATGTCTGTCTAAAAGTTGATAAAACGGGTTTTGATTCATTGTTTCTGGTACTGGGGGTTGAACACAGGGCCTCTCACTAAGCTACATCTCCAGCCCATTTTTATGTTTGAGACACTCGTTAAATCATCCAAGCCGGGTTTGAATTGACTATCATTTTCCCTCAGGACTTTAATTCTGCACACCAAGTCTTTACTGTATGACGCTGGGGACTGAACCCACGCATCTTCACATTGAGCTATTTCCCAGCCTGTTGCTTATTTTTTATTTTGAGACAGGGTCTTGCTAAATCACTTAATTGATTAATGACTTAATTGCCCAGACTGGGCTTGAATTTGTAACAGAGTCCTGAAAGCACCTCAACTCAAGATGGCTTATTAGTCCTAAATGTACCTCGCTTATCAGATTCCCCCTCCATACTGAGAATACCAAGATAAGAGGTTTACAGAGATATTCAGTTATATCCAGAAGTCTTTATAGCTCTAAACCTAGGGTCAGTTTACATTCCAGCAGAGCCTCACAAAACAGATTGTCCCAAGCAAGAATCAACTCTTGGAAATAAATTGCCCCTTAAATCATGAAGATTCCTCTCAAGATGTGAAAACAAGAATGAGATACTCTTCCAGATCACACTCAGCCCGCCACAATTACCCCATAAAACTGGTTTCTTAGCTGAATGTGGTGGTGCATACCTGTAATCCCTGCATTCTTGGAAAATGAGTCAGGAAGATTGAAAGTTTGAGCCCAACCTGGGCACTTTATTAACTTAGCAAAACTGTGTCTCAAAAAGAAGGAGTGGAGTGGGGATGTAGCTCAAAATGAGTTAAGGACTAGAGGATGGCTCAATAATATGAAATGAGCTGTGCAACTTCCCATTATTATTTATTCGTTTATTTGGAGACAGGCTCTCACTATGTTATTCAGGCTGGCCTTGCACTCACTATGTAGCCTAAATTGTCCTTAAACTCTGATGATCCTCCTGCCTCAGCTTTCCAAGGACTGGGATTATAGGCATGTACCACTATGCTCAGAAGGAAAAACTCTTGTCAACCTGGACAGCCAAATGGAAGCCATTCTTTTTCTCTGCTTCTAGTGGTATCTGGCCTGTGTTTCTTGAGTCATCCTGAGTTGATTGTTGGTAAGAAACAAAGTATATACATTTTGTTTTTCTTTTGCAGTACCCCATATTGTGAGATACCCAGGGCCATGGATATCCTAGACAAACACTAGTTCAAAACTGCACTCCAAGCCTTTATTTATTTTACAACACTGGGAAGTGAACTCACACATCTTCACATTGGGCTGTATTCCCAAACTGTTCCTTATTTTTTCTTTTGAGATAGGGTCTTGCCAAAATCACTTAATTGCCAAAGACTGAGCTTGAATCTGTAACTCTCCAGCCTCCATCACCCAAAGTGCTGGGATTACAGGCATGTGCCACCATGCCCAGAAAAGCAGATACTTTTTAAATATCACCCCAAGCACTCTTAATGCCAGGGTAAAGAACTTTGTTAGCAGGTTTGGGGAAAAGAGTGAGTTATTGTTATTTGCTCTCATCATACTTGAGATGTCTCTGGCATGAATGTCAGGGTAGTTGGTGTTATAACTATGCAGTAATCTGAAAGCTGTAGCTGTGCTAGCTAAGAACAGCTCATTTACATTTCACAAATAACTTTCTCACGTTTTCTGTTCTGATGTAACCACAAAGCTGTGAAGAAAGTAGGAAAAGGGTATTCTCATTTTCTCTAATGGACTCCTCCCCAAAACTCACCTTTGTGTGCGCGTACACACACAAAGGCTCTGAGAGATGAAAAGACATGTCCAAGACCATACAGTCACACAACCAACACCCAAGCCCATATCTAACAATGAAGCCATGATTTTTTCCTTTAAACCACATCACATGTCATATTACTGCAATCCATAACTCTTAGTTACACAGCCCTTGACAGTTTACAAAATACTTTCTCATACTTAATTTCATTTGCTTCTCATAACAAAAGGGAAGAAGGGCAAGTATTTATTGTCACTGTCACATGTAAATTGTTGCCCTGCTTTCCAAGGACATCAGCTGGGACAGAACACAGTGATTCACCCCACACTTGTTGCCACAGATAGGCCACACCCCTATATTTGGGCATAAGCCCCAGATCTTCAGTCTCAGTGTTTTGCAGTCTGAAGCCTAAAACCATATTTTGTTTTTGTTTTTTTGTGTTTTTAAAAAATTTTGACTTTGGGGGCTGGGGATTTAGCTCAGCAGCATAAGTGCCTGCCTTGCAAGCGGGCAGTCCTGAGTTTGATCCCTGGAACCGATGAAAAGGAAAAAGACCAAAAAAAATTTTTTTTGACTTTTTATTTTATTGGTGCATTTTAGATATACATAATGATCAGGTTCATCATAGGGAATTTATACCTGTACATGATACATTTTGTTTCTTTTTTGTTCCCATTCCCCTCCCCTCTCTTCAATCCCTCTTTGCTTCTTATTTACAAAAGTTTTGTTTCCATTTTCTCCTTCTACTCTTTTTTTTTCTTGGCAGTCTTTCCTTTTCGACCTCCCCCCCTCCATTATTCCCTTTTTCATTTGAACACGTTCTTCCCATTTGCCAATATCTATTATACATTTTGGTCCTTATTTATATATTGGTTTCTCACACCACAGAAACAATGTAGTATTTAAATGTGTGTCAAATTTGTTTCCCTTAGGAGTGTGGTCTCAAGGTACATCCATTTAGTTAGAATTGTCTCAATCTTATTCTTCTTCATGGTGGAGGAGTATTCCATTGTATAAAAAACTCCACCTCTTCTTTATCTCTTTAAAACCATAAATTTTAAGGAGAAACAAATGTTGCTTTCAGAAGGGTGTAAAACTGCAAACATTGGGGGCTAGGGATTTAGTTCAGTGGCATAGCACATGCCTTGCAAGCAGGCGGTCATGAGTTCGATCTCTGGTACCAATAAAAAGAGAAAAAAAAAACTGCAAACATTTCCTCCGGTATACTTTTCATTTTATTAGAGCAGTAATTCTCTAGGTCCTTGCCTGATCATTTGACCTGGTAAGATCTATAATATCCAGTGGGAAATTTAAATCTTCTAAGGAATCAGACTGAAGGCAAAGGGGAATTAAGAGTGTTAATGGATCTGGGTGTGGTAGCACACACCTGTAATCCTAGCATTTGGGGGATGCTGAGGCAAGAGGATTGCTGCAAGTTTGAGCCCAGCATTGGCTACATGTATCAAGACCAGCCTCAACTATGCAGCAAGACTCTGTCTCCAAAATATATGAGTGTTAGTGGGCCTGGAGAAATCCATGGCTGCCAGATAGCTGTGACTCTATGAAACAGGGCCCTTTCAGGGAGGTCAGACTCTTCAGAGGCTGTTAAAGACAGCTTTGTTTTTGTTTTTTTATGTGTATAGTACTGAGAATTGAACCCATGGTCTTTACACCAACCCAAATTTCCAGCCCTTTTTATTTTATTTTGATACATACTTTTTGCTAAGTCATTAAGTTGCCCAGGGTGAGCTTGAACTTGTGATCCTCCTGTCTCAGCCTCCCAGAATGCAGGGATTACAGGAATGTACTATGACACCCAATTTAGCTATGATTTTCTAACTGTAGCATTTACTTTCTTCTCTATGATGGTAAGGGACAATTCTAAGAAGGTATGGAATGTGTTATCCAGATGTCCTAGGGCAGTAGTGGCAAACCTGTGGCATGTGTGCCACAGTGGGCTGTTTGTAGCACTGAAAACTCTAAAAGATTCATCACTACTGTTTTAGGGAATGATATGTACAGTGGGTAAACCAATTTTTCTTTGTCTGAATCCGCTGGTTATCCCTCAATGGAACCACCATCCTAGATGGA